GAAATATTGGTAGAAAACGTTGGCCAAATCAGATTTCATGTTGAGTAAATCTTTGGGGACATGGAAATGAAAAGTCAAATGTTCCATTTATTATTTTGCTTCAGTGAAATTCTCTGCAGATTCTCTACTGGAAATAGTAAGGAGTCTAGAGCCACATATTCAGTCTTCAAAGCAACAGGTTCCTGAACAGGTTCACGTGAAGTTTTTTAAAAAGTTATTTATAAAGAGGAGTGAAATGGATAGAATCTAAAAGCTAAGGAGATAATCAAACTATGGAAGGAGAAGAATGACAAAGCTAGGTAAGCTGAAAATAAAGGTAGAAAGACTAAGAGGTGGGAAACTGACTAGCGATACAATTTATTTACAGACTCTTAACGTTTTTTGAAAAACATTATTTTAATAACGCACTCTACACTTTCTCCATCTTCAGTTTTTAGACACTGCTGCAGTGGAATGAAACTTCCCTGTGGTGTCTTCTGCAGCTGAATTCCCACTGTGGTACTTTCTAATTGCTTATTACAGGAAGAGGTTTTATTTCCCATATTTCTCTATCTTCATCTGTTCAATAGTATATTCAACAGATGTTAATACAAGGATTGGGTGAGGTATTTTATATACCGCATATAGTACAGGGCCTGGCACCGCCAAATGTTCCGTAATGCTTTTATTTCCAAGGCTTGCTTCTCCATTCCTAAGCCCCAACCGTGTAGAAAGAAAAAACCTAAAACCATTTGCCCTAACTGCCACCTGGTGGCCCCATAAAACTGTTTTAGCATTCCCAGGCAGCACAGGGGTAGCAGAGAAGAAACTCTGGTGGTGGGGACACTTCATGGCTATGACGAGGCTTATTTTCCTTCCTTTCTGTGCAGAAAGATGCTGAAAAGCTATTAGGCATATGATATTAGACATCCTATCTAGACATGAGGGAAATATTTAAATAAAGAGTTGCAGTCAGCCGTGTGGTAACTACTTTGTCCACTTACTAACAGAGGACTATTTGGCTGAGCTAATAGCACCAGGGAGGTAGCAGGTTTTGCGTTTCACTGGAAGAAAAAAGACTTTGTGGTCGATGTCATTTCCAATGTTCCCACGGGTCACAGGCTCCCAAAGCGAGACTCAATTTTAAATGCTGCTCTTTAAGGTTGGAAAAATCCCTATTGTTTTAAGTTGCTTTAGGAATGTGTAGTACTTACTCTGTTACAACATTTCGATTTTTAAAGGATAACACCTGTTTCACCTTTATCATGACTCAAAAATTCTAGAATTTGTTTCTCACCACCATCTGGGAGTTTAACACAGTGCCCGGCACACTGAAAATCTTTACTATATATGAATAAGTGGATTCATTCCCATTGTATAAATGAGGCTTAGATAAGTTTAGAATATTGCAGAAGATCATGCAGACAGCAAATGTTCATGTCAGAATGAAAGCTTACACCTTCTTACCCCAATGCAGTATTCTTTCCACTCAGCTACATCACCCTGTCTTTCAGTAAAATTAGTTCAAATGCTCATCCTTGAGTGGCCTTTGTCTAGAGAGAGCAATGACAGACTTCTGGATTATTGTATCATCACTGGTTTAATTATGCAATTCTTGTGGACTTTGATGACTTTCCTGTAATACCCAGTTGGTTTAGGGAAAGCATGACTTAAGCCTAATGCAGTCAGGATTGTAGCATCTGCAATTTGAAAGGAGATTTAAGGATTCTCCCACTGGAAGATCACTTGATTCTCAGATAGTTTCAGTAAAGAGGGATTAATTTAGAAAAGAAGGAGCTCTTCAGGCAGGTAGTTAGTGGGGCTCCTAGGTGTTCAGTCTAAGAGGACCCAATCTCACAGGGGCTGGATCCTCATGAAGGGTGGAGCTGTGCTGCTAAACACTCCTGTTACTACAGGAGCACAGGATCATCCTATGATCGACCAAACCCCACATGAGCTTGCTTCATTCAGCCACTTGCTTGTTATTAAGATGTTGCAATACTGAGATGACTCCAGATATATTAAACAAGATTCTGGAAATTGTTTCCACAGACGCTTCCTCCTTCAGGTCTCATTTTCATGGAACTTTTCACTCATCTTCATACATTGACTCAAAGAATTCTGAACCTTAATTTTTAACTATCTCATTTCACAGTCATGGAGGGCAGAGGTTAGCATGAGCCGAGAATCTACTGCTGGTTATAAACAAAGCTGGGCAGAGATTCCTATTCCTCTCCTTCCAGGCCACAGTGAGCTCTTCCAAAATCAGCTACATCTCACCTGTCTCCCTAATCCGCTTCTTTTCTCTTCTCCCTCTTTGTGAATCTTGTTCTCAAACTCATAGTAAGCTGCTGCTTTTTTTTCCTGCTGCTTTGATTGGTTTATATCCATATTTTTTTTTGCTACGAGCCTCCCTTGCCTTCTCTAACTTCATTAAGCTCTTTTTTTTTTTTTCCTCTCAAGGATTCCTTGGGGCCTACAGCATCTACAAAGTGTAGTCACTAGAGGGCATCATGATCACATACAGTTGACAAGGACAAGGACAGAGGAGCTAGAGTGCTGCTGAAAAGGTGTGAAAATACACAACAGTACATCAGATGTGTGTATCACTATTTACAAAATCACATTCGTTTTTATTGGCCCCTTGACCCTGACCAAAATCTGGAGAGAGAGGTCAAGTATTACTGTCTCTATTTTCAACCAAAGAAGAAAACCAAGGGTCAGAGAGGTTAAATGACTCACCCAAGGTCATAGAAATAGCAAATTATATCCTCCCATTGAATAGCGTTGCCTAAAAATCTCTACTATAAAACTGAAAAATGAAGGTTTCTATTTTTGCAAGATTTAAACCTAATTATGGAAAAGTATTACATCTTTGCAATGCAATCAAATACAACCCCGAAGTCATTTCCAGTTACAGAAGTTATCATTTTAAGAGAATGAATTTAAACATTTTATAAATGCTCTTTATTAATATCTTTCCTAGTAATCAGAAATTACATTTTTCTAAAATTGTCAGGTGTTTTCTAGTTATTCCTGTTTTATCTTTGCTATGATTTACTTTGCAAATCAACTGCATGCTATTTTGTTCTACTTTTCCCTGTCTATCTGACCACTGAAGTAAAGAAAAACAGAACAATATAGTTTCTACTACAAAACATCTGATCTTTGAGACAATGCCATTGTCTCTCTTTGATTGATTGAATACCTTGAATGCAGGCTGTTTTCACATTGGCAACATTGCTTATTTGCTTACTGCTGACACCAGCAAAATGGAAATAGACTCTACTTAAAACAGGCAGGACTGTGAAGCTGTGTTTTAGCTGGTCACTTTCTCCAGCCATTTCGATTCGTTTATTTCCTCATTTTTCACAGGGCAGATCCCTTCAAGTGGTGGCACCTTGTACCTGGTGATGGCAGATGGAAATCCTGTTTCCAGGGAACCAGAAGATCTAAGAGCCAAATGGGATGGTTTTCCGTGATGGTAGGGGAATAATTAAGGAAATCAAGATTCCATAGCTAATGGTGCAATCAAAGGTTGGAAAAGATAAAAAGCTATGGGCTGACAGAATAGCTTTGAAGAAGATGGACTTGTCCTGGATGTAACTGCGGGAATGGTAGAGAAAACAGGATTTATAGTAGGTGAAGATTTCTTTAAGTTTCTTTCTTTCTCTCTGTTTCTAGGGGTTGTTTCAAAGATTAGTTTCATAAACTAAACCAGGCATATAGTGAAAAAACTAACAGTTATGTAGAACTTTAGAAATTCTAGTTGTTTATAATGACTCTTCCTGGTATCATTAATAAGAGTCAGAGAAGGAAGGAGTTAAAAAACCAAGAGATTAAGTAAAAAAACAAAATAAAACAAAAAGACATTATGAGAGCCCACTCATGTTTACCTCTTTTTTAGTCTACTTTTACATAGAGTTTAGCACATTACAATAATATGAAATGAAGTAGCATCCACCTTTGTTTCCAGAAAAATCTTATCGGAGACCATTGTGTACATATGCTACTGAAAAGATGTATACATTTATGCATATCTTTCTGTTTGTGGCCTGGGAAAAGAGTGTGTGTGTGTGTGTGTGTGTGTGTGTGTGCGTGTGTGTGTGTCCATCTAGACACTTTAGCTTAGCTGTAAAAGGAATGCTTAGTGAATGAGAAAAAAGAGCAAATTGTTTTGGTAACACCGATTTGAATGACAGACAAGTAAAGAATTGTAAATGTGAGACTGAAATCCTCTGAATATAAAAAAAACTCTAAACACAGTTGAGAAGAGAACAAAAAAATATAAAGATGTATGTTCACTTTTTTTTCCTTTTAGACCAGTTTTTTAAAAGAAAATACAACTTTTTTTCTGGCAATGTCAACACAACAGATTCATAGGCTCAACATCTAGTCTACCATGACAACAAATACAATGAAATCATTCCATAATCAATATCCAATCAATACATGCTCTAATCATGCCCTCTTTTTCAGAGGAAACAAAACAAAAAGGAGATTAATTCATTCCCTATGAATTTACTATTTTCCTATGATTTTCTGTCTAGAAATAATATGACAACAAAGCTGTAAAAATCTGTAGTCCTTGAATAAGGGATAAGATCTCCATAATACCTATTTCTATTTTTTGCCTTACCCCATCTTACTAATTCTTGTTTCATTTATTTATTGCTGAGATTCTGAATATGTGAGTTAAATCATATTTAGAGGCAACACAGTCTTGCAAAGGCAGCTCTGTTCATATTTTCAACCCTACCCAGAAAAGGTTAACTCCCTATTAAAGGGAAAAGGAAGCGGGTCCCACTTCTCCACCTTGCATCAAGACGGGTAGAGGAAATATTTCACCTACCAGCCGTGGATGACAAAACGCATGCTCGCTAAATATTCCATTGCTGTAGATCTCCGTGTAACTACAGCTCATCTGAGATTTCTATTCCAATTTTCTGCAGAAGCAACAATTATAATGAACTATATATATATATATATATGTATATATATATATAAGAAATATTCATTACCTTTATTTTTTAAAGTGGCTAAAAAAATCATTTCTTTTTTTCATGCATCCATTGAGTGTAGGTTAAAACTCCGTAGAGAATTGCCAGCCGCCCTGCGACTGTAGGCTAGCCCTCTTTTAGAGATAAATCTCAACATTTTTTTTTTTTAATCACGTTTTCAGAATTTGTTAGGAACTGTGCTTTGTGGACTGTGATGAATTGCATATTGCTCTTGCAATTCCTTCTGGTTAAAAGCCCCAGGTTTCCAGCATCCAGAGCCGACCATGATTGGCTCCGCCAGAGGGACGCAGGTCCTGGGATTCCCTCCCAGCTAGCAGCAGTGACATCACCAGCAAGCTCCTTGGCTGCGCAGGGATGGAGTGGGGGAGGCCGCGGAGGAGCTCCGGGAGGGGCGTTGCTGGGGGTTTCCAGGGAAACACTGCAGCAGATGGCCTGCCTCTCTGAGCCACAGTGACACATCTGCAGCACGGCTGGTGGGAAGGATATTTTTGGAAAATATCTGCTCTCTTTGGTCCGACTAGTTCTGTTTTATTTTCCCCTCCTTTGAACCAACGTGTTTATTTCTCCCCAATTTCTTTATTTCTGGAAATGGCGCTTTTTATTTTCATTGCCCGGCCATTATCCGAAGGATTCCAAGCTACTAACCGATATTAAACGTCCGTGCTCCCCACTTTTCTTTCCAGGCTCCCATCCCCAGCCCCTGCTCCGCCCCGTCCCTTATATTATGTAGGCTGTCAAGGTGGCGTGTGGAATACAAGGGCAAATGTTGCTAGGGTAACAGGATTGAAAACCCGCCGAAGCAGATGCTTTATAACCTGGGGTTTCCCTCATTTGCATTTAAAGACTCCTGAGCAAAAGCGAGAGCCTCCCAGCAAGCCAAGTCCTTGTAGTTAAAATAAGAAAGACATCTTTAAAAATAGCAATTGTCTCCTGGTAAGTCATTGAGCAACTTGTCCCTCTGCAAGGTTGAGTAAGTGCAGGAAAAAAATATATGATGTGTTAATAGTCCCCACTGTGCTAGCAGTAGGGCTGAGGCATTTAAGAGCACCCCCACCTCCCCCGCTTTCTGATCTTAAACCTATGAGGAATTCCCTTCTCTTTTTTCTTCCAGAATTGCCCTTCATGGTATTCTCCAAGGTTAAACTTCTGACGACCCGGGGTGTGTCGCTTCTATTCTTGGTGATCTCGGAACGCCTCATTGAACATTCATAGCAAAAGATATCAAGGTGGCAAAGCTCAGATTTAAAGCAAGTGGAAAAACCTCTTGGGCTGCATGAAATTTAGGAATGTTGACATTACTAAAGAATTAAACAAATGGGATTTTAGACATGGCTTTGACTACCAGAACACCTTTAATTAAACAACTTCATAGAATCTGACCACTGCATTCAACACCAAGATGAAATTCCCGGAATTAACAGTAACCAAGCAGCAAAAACTGTACTTTACTCCCTGTTTCTTTAAAGTTTGGATGATAATTCTTTCAAATGAAACATATTAAGATTTGCCAGTGTTTCAGCATTTTAAGATGCTCCCAAATGTGTATGAATAGAGCAGGAAAATAGATATTTGTAACCCATACAATAAGGCATAAATGGCTTTTAGCAATTATAGGAACCGAAAATTGGGTGGTATGTGATTGAAGGGAGAAGAAACGCTTAGAATTGACAGTGATTTTAGCAATAGGGCATACATTTGTGGTGGAGCATTTCAATGGATCTTGAAGTGGCTTTGTTAATGAGCGTCCTCTTACTCCTGAAATCTGAATGCAAATTTGTTTCTTTTCTTTCCTGCCAAAGCCCAATAAAACCTTATCACAGGAAGGTGAGAAAAGAGCTGTTTTAGGTGCCAGAAATGGCATTTATTTTCACATAGGTAACATTTTCTGACCTCTATTTGTGATGGTGGCAGTAAGAATCATCTTAAACCTCATTTTAAGCGTTTAAGATGCCAACTATAGCATCATGTAACCAACTCAGATGTGAATTCCTGAATCATAACAAGTGTAAGATCAAACACAATTAGAAACCATGGCTCCCGAGATGAATAAAATTTTAATAGATATTTGAAGTCTTATTTCTGTATCATGTAAGCAGGAAAAAGCTGCCTTTTCATCCATATTACCAAATATTTTATAAGAAATGTTCTACTAACAGCTGGCGCAGGGTTTGGCAGAAAATATGTATCTGGTAAATGTCTTCTGTGACTCTGAATCTGTAGTTAATAAGGGTGCTGCCATGCAGCCTGATTCTGAGCAAGGACCTTGGACACCCATGGAAGTCCTGCCTTTGCTCCCTGAGATAAATGAAGGATGGTTATTGACTCGGTACCCAAAGAGGATCACGCTCATTCTGTATCCTCTAACCACTAAGCATTGGCAAAGGCAGGCCTTCAATGTCGTGCTTCTTGACACATGCAATGAAGAAGTGACTCACAGAACGTTAACAATTGAAAGAACCATAGTCATCATTTAGCACCTGCATCTTACAGATGAGGATGTTGCATTTCAGAGTACAAAAGCACCTGCTTCTCTGGAGGCCAGGGAAGGAAAACCATTTCTAAATGTCATTTTTCATGGGACTGCATAGAGTCAAGAGTAGTTTATCCAGACTCAGCAATCTATGACTCTTGATTGTGTTAAAAGAAAAACTTTAGACAACTTAAATTACCAGACTTTAACTGAGCAAAGAATGATTCATGAATGGATCAACCCAAGAACCAGAAAAAGTTCAGATTACCCTGTGATGCCACATGGTAGGGGAGAATTCATGAACAGAAAAAGAAAAGTGACGTATAGGAAATGGAAGCAAGGTACAAAAATAGCTGGGTTTGTTACAGCTTGGCGTTTGCCTTATTTGAACATGGTTTGAACGGTTGGCCCCCTTTGATTGGCCAAAACTGGGTGACTGGTACAAGAATAAGTTACAACCTGTTTATACATCCAGGTAGGTTACAGCTCGTTCTGCACAGAGACAACACTAGGCCAGACTTAAAACATGTAAGGAGGTGGCAAGAATTAGGTTTCTCAAGCATGATTTTAGTATTTTCACTATTTTGTTTAAGAACTTACACTAATTATTCACAGTTTAAGAGAACTACCCATCATTTTTCAAATAGGTGGTAAGGTGTACAGGAAACACTGGAGCTCTGACTTCAACATTCACAGGTTTTAACTTAAGTCACAGTTTCATTTTCTGTAAAAAGCCCTCCTATTTTTAAAGCTGGCTTTGCAGGGAGGTGAAAGGGCAGGGATCATTTTTTATGTGGCTTTATCTGTTTTGGACTTAGTTCAGAGTCTGGCATATACTAGGGGTAAGCTAGAATAAAACTTCATGGGGCAGGACTCTTTTGTCCAGTGATATACACCAGATGTCTAGAACATTGCCTGACACATCCTAGGTAAAGATTTCAAGAACTGTAAGTTGAATTTTAACAATGAATGAATAAATTTAAGAAAAGGATATGGAGAGATACTTGGCACAGGAGCGTCCTCAGTAATTGACGTTTCCTCTCCTTTACCACCTGATTTCTTCCCTACTGGTAACTTCAAAATGGCTAAGCTTTTTTATTTATTTGTTTAAAAATGAAGAATGTTTTAACTCATAAAAGGATGGCAATTACACAAAGTTAATTCTTGCAGTAGATAAAAGAGAAAATGACTTCTTATGGTATTAAGTGAACCCTTCCATGGGAGGTTGGAAATAAGCAGCTCTTGGCTTAGAGAAGTTGGCTGGTGTTCTTTTGACTGACTAGCAGAGTAGGGGGCACTCCGTTAGGTGTGGGCGGGGTCACTCACAGCTCCCACAGCCTTTGGCTGGGCATTAGACTCTTCCGGGAACATGTACCCCTCCCTTTTCTTACATCAATTAAATCAGAATTTCTGGGTTCCCTAGGCTTTCAGAAGTGCCTCAAGTTTTTTTTTTTTTTTTGCTGTTGTTGTTGCTTTTGAGACAGGGTAGAGTTCAGTGGCTTGATCTCAGCTCACCGTAACCTCTGTCTCCCAGGTTCAAGTGATTTTCCTGCCTCAGCCTCCAAAGTAGTTGGAATTACACACATGTGCCACCACATCCAGCTCATTTTTGTATTTTTGGAGAATCCCAAGTTCAAGTGATTCTCCTGCCTCAGCCTCCCAAGTAGTTGGGATTACACACACATGCCACCACATCCAGCTCATTTTTGTATTTTTTAGTAGAGACAGGGTTTTGCCATGTTGGCGAGGCTGGTCTCAAACTCCTGACCTCAAGTAATCCTTCTGCCTTGGCCTCCCAAAATGCTGGGATTACAGGTGTGAGCCACCATGCTCAGCCTCCCCAAGTATTTTTAATGAGCAACTAAGGCTGAGAACTATGACCTTGAAACAAATGATAATCTAAAGTTGGTTTGGGATGATAATTATTTTTGTTAGGCTGGCTCTAACTAATAGAATTATGTTCTGAACTAGATGTATTAGTTAAGGTTCCCCAGGGAAAAAGAACCCATTGTATTATATATATATATCACAATAATGTCATCGTAATGTAATATAGGTACATCTACTAAATATAATTTATATTATATTTAATATAAACATTCTGCCAGCATTTCTATTGTGCTCCTAGGAACTTAATATAATAATAATTTAATAATACCAAAGACAAATGATAACCTTAAGTTGGTTTGAGATGGTAATCCTTTTTGTAGGCTCATTCCAACTATAGAATTTATGCTCTAAACTGAATGTATTAGTTAAGGTGTTGAGAGAAACAGAACCAATATATATATAATATTATTATTATAATATGATTGTAATATATGAATATATAATAATATAGCCTATACTATATATAATATAAATATATTGCTGCCATTTCTATAGTGCTTCTAGGAATTTAATATAATGATAATTTAATACTATCAAAGACAAATGGTAACGTAAAGTTGGTTTGGGATGGTAATTATTCTTATTAGGCTCATTCCAACTGAAAGGGTTTGTGTTCTAAATTTAATGCATTAGTTGTGGTTCTTCAGAAAAACAGAACCAATTATATGTAATATAATATAATAAAATTTATAACATCTAACTATAAATAGTAATTCTAATATAATATATATGTATCAATATAATATAGTATATCTAGATAATGTATAGATTTATGTAGATATAAATATAAAACACCCTACCTGGTTGTTTTTTTTTGAGACAGAGTCTTGCTTTGTCTCCCAGGCTGGAGTACAGTGGTGTGATCTCTGCTCACTGCAACCTCCGCTTCCCAGGTTCAAACAATTCTCCTGCCTTAACCACCCAAGGAGCTGGGACTATAGGTGCATGCCACCAGCCTGGCTAAGTTTGTATTTTTAGTAAAGACAGGTTTTCAGCATGTTGGCCAGACTGGTTTTGAACTCCTGGGCTCAAGTGATCCACCTGCCTCAGTCTCCGAAAGTGCTAGGATCACAGATGTAAACCACCGTTCCTGGTCCCTACCAGTATTTTACATGGTGCTTCCAGGAAATGCTTATTTAAACAAAGTCAAAAGTTTTCCTCAGTCTAGACATCTTAGAACCTTTGATGGGCTAATGCCTTTAATGAATCTTTATCGATTAAGTATACAGGCAAAAGATTGAAACTCTGTCCCTTACAACTGTGTGACCTTGGGCAAGTTGCCGAAACTCTCTGAGGCATTTCCTCACACAGAAACTCTTAGTAGTTTCCTCACAAGTGTGCAAGGATTAGTGAGATGAAGGATGTGAAGCATGTAGTGTCGTGGCTGGCACACAGCAAACGCTCAGAGGTGTAAACCATACCACGTGGATCTCCAGTCCTTTCTTGGTCTTGCTACAGAGGTGTTAACAGCTGGAATGAGTCCAGTCTACCCTGGTTGTCAAAACGAGTGATTATCACTCCAAGTTAGAGCTGTGAGCCAGAGGAGCTACAGCACGAAATGCCTTCTCAGCTTTTGGGACCACATTGCCTTTTTTGCTGAGTTTTATAAAACTAGTGTTCTGAAGAAAAGATTGGTGAAATGGTGCCTTATACAAACATAAGATGTTATAAATTATTCTTAATGTTTCCAGATACAGCCCAGATAAATATGAATTTCAGATAAATAACATATATGTATATGTATTAGTGTAAGTAAACATAGAAATTTAATAATTCTGTTAAAAGTTATTTGTCCTTTATCTGAAATTCCAATTTGACTGGTGTGCCCATTTCATCAGGGATAACCCTATCCTAAGGGTTAACTTCAAGTTCATTTAAAATACCACAATGACCTGGAAGTAAGGAAAGGGGATGGGGCATTTGGCCAAGCCAGAATGCCCTCAAACTCATAATTTCCATGCATTTTTCTCATTCTGCTTTATGTGCGATGTTTTAGCTGTTTCTCTCATTCAGTGGTTGCATGACTGGCAGGGGCTTATTCACTTTATTTCTTGCTCAGTACTTGGAGCAGAGGAAGCACCAGCAGGTTTGTTTTGTTTTGTTTAATTGAACTAAGCTCAACCATTGATTTTTTTATTTTTGCTTGAAATAAAAGAAAAAAACAACTCTTCTTTCTCTTTCCCTTTCTTGCTTGACAGTGTCTCACTTTGCTGCCCAGGCCAGAGTGCAGTGGTGCAATCATAGCTCACTGCAGCCTCGAACTCCTGGGATCAAGTGATTTCACCTCAGCCTTCCGAGTAGCTGGGACTGCAGGGGTACAACATCATGCCTGGCAAAAAGCACTCTTTCCAATGCTAATATCCAAAGGAAAGTAATATTATTATTTGTATAATCTACCAGTTATATGAAAATTAAATATGTTTTCTGAAGCATGATGTTAATGGCTATATAATATCTTTTCAATCAATCCATATTCTTGTTTCCAACTTTGATGAAAATTATGGGTTAAACATGTTTAAAGATATATCTTTGTATAGGTCCTGTAGGGTAGCATATGCCACCCCAAAATATGCCACTTTGGCATTAGGATTATTTTGAGGTGAAGACAGTTGAGAGAAAACAGCTACAAGAAAAACTCTCTGCCCTGCCCCTGTTTGCCTACAAGCAAGACACAAATTTACAAGGTCTCCCTCCTCTCTCTACTAGGAAGGATAAAAGTTAATTATCAGTGACAATTCTAGACCCTTAGAAGCCCAGAGACAGCACCACAGGGACCAACATAAACTTCCCCAACTAGCCTTTATCTACAATAGGTTTCCTGTATATTTGCTTTCCCACAGTCTGCTAACCTAGAAACTCAAAGTTCTTTCCTTCGTCTTCTCACTTCTCTAAAAATTTATCATTCCTTTGCTGAGATTCTGTATTAGCCCAAGTTCTTACGAGCCCTTGAAGTTACTCATCTCTCAGTGCTCCCACGTGTGAGCCCAATGCACAAACACATAAAGTCCTACTTCTCTCTTGTTAAACTGTCTCTGTCAGTTCAATATACAAAGCCCCAACCAGAGAAACTAGAGGATGTTAGGAAGAATTTTTCTTCCTCTACAGTTTCAGACTCATTTTAAGTACTTAAAAATCAAGAGTATCATTAGGTGGAGATATTGCTACCTAAGGCCAGATTTTCTTTAAAAAAAATTTTTTTTAAATTTAAGTTCCAGGATACATGCACAAGATGTGCAGGTTTGTTACAGTGGCAAATGTGTGCCATGGTGGTTTGCTGCACCTATCAACCCATCACCTAAGTATTAAGCCCAGCATGCATTAGCTATTTATTCTGATGCTCTCCCTCCCGCTGCTGCCCATGACAGAACCCAGTGTGTGTTGTTCCCCTCCCTGTGTCCATGTGCTCTCATTGTTCAGCCCCTACTTATAAGTAAGAACATGTGGTGTTTGGTTTTCTGTTCCTGTGTTAGTTTGCTAAGGATAATAGCTTCCAGCTCCATCCATGTCCCTGCAAAGGATATGATCATGTTCCTTTTAATGGCTGCATAGTATTCCATGATATATATGTACCAAATTTTCTTTATCCTGTCTATCTATGTTGGGCATTAGGGTTAATTCCATTTCTTTGCTATTGTGAAGAGTACTGCAATGAACATACATGAGCATGTATCTTTGTAATAGAATAATTCAGATTTTCTTTGGAGCCCAGTGAGTTCAAAATGATCTTATGAATAGATAGAAAACCTGAATAGACAAACACCATACAAGAAACAGTTAAGGTAGACTTTGCTTCACCTTAAGGTACCAAGGAGTTTAGAAGAACTGGTGATAAAACAATCTCCCAAGAACAGATAATAACTCCAATATTCAAACTATTTCAGAGTTTAGAATATGAAGTCCCCCAATTCATTTTATCAAGCCAACAAAATGCTCATCTCATAGTAATTGCATAACACGAATTTAAAATAATCTCAAGTATGAATGTAGAAGAGCTCTAAGCAAAATTATCAAATCAAATTTAACCACGAGGCCAAGGAATAACAAGGACCAAGAAGGTGTATTGCTAGAATGTTGATTTCAACAAGGAACTACATTTATATCAATACTTCCCAATTTTAACAGATTAAAGAAAAAAAATGTGTTCCTCTTGATGATTCAAGGAAAATCATCTGATAAAATTCATAATTTAGTCCTTAGTGAGGACTTAAATAAAACCTGGTTTATATAATCAAGCATAACTCGTGGAAGCTAATGGCAAATACTATATGGGCACGGTCCAATATGGTACCTACTGACCACATGAGGCTGTTTATCTTTAAATTAATTAAAATATTAATTTTCCAATAATTCTAGCCATGTTTTAAGTGGTCAACATGCCCAATAACTATCACACTGAATAGCACAGAAAGTTTCATTTGACAATGCTGCCATAGCAAACCAGAAACAGACCCCAGGTACACAAGGTGTTGTAAAAATTTAATAAGAGCTAACTTTACTGCGTGGTCTTAAATTGCCTGATGCTATTTTAAGGGTTTTATGTATATTATTTAATTTCCATATGGTATAACGGGCTAAGTCTTATCAGTTCCTCTCCCCAGCCCTTACTTTATAGTCCTGAAGTCAGTGGGGCAGGAAAAAATCAAAAGTAAACCAAATCTTACATAATTCTTATGTGGTAGATCTGGGATTCAAGAAGCACTCTTTTAACTCCCAAGTTACCTAATATTTCCTGTGTTAAAGGTAGCAATCCAAATGTGGGATAAAATGCTTATTAAATCCCTTTTGGAAAATGTTTACCTATTTAGGAAAATAACAAATACAGACTTTACATTATTTAAAAGGCACAATCATCAATGGGCTAAAGATATAATTGTAAAAAAAAATAAGTTCACAAAGCTCTAGGGGAAAACAGTATTTTTCTACCCTTGAGGATAGTATGGGAGGAGGTGATTCCTAAGTTAAACCAAAAAACTCAGGCACCAGAAATGAAAAGATTGGCAAATTTAGGTCCACAAAAGTTCAAGCCTGCTGTGTGATAAAAGAAACTATAATCAAGGCTAAGAGGCAGTAATAGAGTAGAGGAAAATATTCAAAACATAATGTGTTTTAATATAAAACAAAAATATAGAAAGATGTTCAAGTTCATTAATAATCACAGAAATGCA